TTGGCAGCTCTGCGCGCCCATGCATTGAGAAGAGGCTCCTCCTCTTCTTCCTCTTCACTTATGGGAGCTTCTGGAGGTTCTGAAGGCCCTGGCTGAATCCCCGCCTCTGGCACCACATCTTCTCCAGCCTCCTCATTGTCTGACTCGGGTGCCAGCTGCACAGGCTGCTGGCGCAGCACCACACCAGCCTCCTCGCTGTCGGAATCAGCTACTAGCTGCACAGGCCGCTGACGGGACACAACAAACGTTGTCCATGGAGTCGTGATTGGTCAGACACGACTTCGCAACTAACAACAACAACATTGTTTTCAATTTGCCATTTAGGTTTTGAACTGGATGCTGTCCAGAGCCATGGGTTGAAATGGTGGCTCTAGAAATCAAATAAATATAAGAAATGGAACAAAATCCAGCCATCAAATAAATGTAAAGATGGTTGACTTTGAATGAATATGGAAAACCGAACAAATACAGCAATCAAATCATTATGCAGGTAGTCCTCGACGTACGACCACAATGGAGCCCAGAATTGGTGATATTTTATTTTATTTATTTTGATCTGGTGAAACCTGCCTTTGGAGAGACGTTCAGTGGGCCTTCCTTACTCTTGGTTAAGCAAGGACAGACCTCGATATACGACCATTTGTTTAATGGCTGTTCAGTGTTACGATGGCGCTGAAAAAAAGGGACAATCGGTCCGCGCACTTAGGTCCCTCGCAGGATTCCCGCTGTCACATGATCAGAATTTGGGCAGTGGTCATGTGATCGCTATTTGCAATATAGGGTAATCCTCAACTTACGACCACAACCAAACTTTCTGTTGTGAGGTGAGATATTTGTTAAGTGAGCTTTGCCCCTTTTACGGCCTTTCCTGTCACCGTTGTTAAGTGAATCATTGCAGTTGGTAAATTAGTAACTCGGTTGTTAAGTGAATCTGTCTTCCCCGTTGCCTTCGCTTATCAGAAGGTCGCAAAAAGGGATCATATGACTCCAGGATACTGCAAGCGTCACAAATGCGAGTCCGTTGTCAAGCATTTGAATGTATCCCCACGTGACCATGGAGATACTGCAACGGTCATAAATGTGAAAAAATGTCATAAGTCACACGTTTAGAATAGAATAGAATTCTTTATTGGCCAAGTGTGATTAGACACACAAGGAATTTATGCTAAACTATATGATTTTTATATGGAGAAGACTGAACTGGATAAGATACTCATGGGAACAGAGGAAAACTTAATAAAAATTTTTAATAATTTTTTGTTGTATATTGAATTGGAGGAGGAGCAAGTAAAAGAAACGATGATAGCCTGGAGTAAAAATTTTGGTTATCCAATCGAATTTGAAAAATGACAACAACTATGGGAAAGGAACTATAAATTAACAATGTCCACAGCATATAAGGAAAATCAATATAAGATGTTTTATAGATGGCATATGCTACCGGAGAACTTAGCAAAAATATTTAAAGATAAATCAGCTAAATGCTGGAAATGTCATCAAACACCAGGATCTTATATGTGGTGGACTTGTCCCGAAGCAAAAAATTATTGGTACAAGATTAAAATCTGGCTGGAAGAAATGATACAACAACGTACTGAATTTAAACCAGAATTGTTCCTACTGGATATCTTTCCAGAAAAAATTAGTACGGAAAATGTATATTTGATTATACAATAACAGCCGCAAGAATTGTGTATGCTCAAAATTGGAAATAGGAGAAAATACCTTTTGAAGAAGAAGTAATATAAAAGAATTTTAGGCTGTGCAGAAATGAGTAGATTAACTTTGATGATTAAAGATAAGGAGGAATCAGAATATTTTAAAATATGGAATTATTTTTATAGTTGGTTGGAAAAGAGATATAAATGATTGATACTATAACTGTGTACAAATGATGACTATAATATTGATTTAGAAATGAAATGTTAGAATAGTTTGGATGAATGTGAAGATAGAAGAAACTCATGGAAGATGGAGAAGATAACACCGAGGCGTCACAGGGAAGGGAGGATTGATGTATTAAATGTTTGTTTGTCTTAAAAAATAAAAAAAAATATTTTTTTAAAAAAGGAATTTATTTCCAGTGCATATGCTCTCAATGCCTAGTTTTCAAGGACTAATTTTCTCCCCTTTCTTTTAATTTTTTAAACTGAAATTTTAATTTATTTTAAATTATTGGGATTTTTAATTGTCTTGGGCTAAATTTTTTAATTTGGTTTTAAATTGTTTCTAACTTTTGTATTTATGTATTTTATTCTGTGCCTGTTCACCGCCCTGAGTCCTTCGGGAGTAGGGCGGTATATAAATTTAATAAAACGTAAACAAACATAAACATACGATGTTTATGTACATACGATATACATATTTTTTCCAGCGCTGTTGTAACTTCGGTCACTAAATGAACTGTTATAAATTGAGGACTACTTGTATTGATTTGTTAGAAGTTAAAAAGCCTCTGATCTGCCCTCCCCCCTAATTTTAACAGATCTTCTGATCTGAAGTCAGAGAAACCCAGTATCCTTTCATAAAATACAATGTTTCCTTAAAGGGAACACACTGGAATCAATCAAAGTTTAAAAGAGGTGGGAATTTTGCAGCTAGGTCTGTTTTGCTTAAAACATGAAATTCTCCCACGAAAAGACATATATGTCTGATCAGAGAGATATTTTTCTGATAAAGGAGATCACTAGGAGAATATTTCCTCTAATCATAAAAAAGCCATGTGTTTCCTTTTTTTTCTTTCTACCGGAGGCTGTGAGTTTGATCCTAGGGTAGAGGCAGATATTTCTTTCTCTGGGCACAATGAGAATATATCTGCTGAACAAAACTCCGTATTGGCAACAGGAAAGGCATCCGGCCAGTAAACACTCAGCTCCATTCAGTTGCCCCGACTCCACCCCTATGCAAGGGATTATGGGTCATTAAAAGAAAAAAAAATTAAAATAATAAAATCATATATTATATGTAAACTATGATTTATGATCTATGGCCGTGATGGCAAACCTATGGCACACATGCACGCGCCGGCCAGCTGATTTTCGGGCCTTCTGGGCCCACCAGAAGTAGGGAAACAGGCTGTTTCTTGCCTCCGGAGGGCTTTGGGGGTGGGTGGGAAAGGCCCGTTTTTCTTTCTCACCTGGTTCCAGATCCTCTCTATGCATCTGGGGAGGAGGAAAACAGCCTTCCCCATCCCCTCAAGAGGCTCTGGAGGCTGGGGACAGCAAAAAACTTCACTTCCTGTCCAACCGGGAGTTGGGAATTGTTTCAGGCCTCCGAGGGGGTGGGGAAGGCTGTTTTCGCCCTCCCCAGATGCATAGAGAGGAACTGGAGCCAGGTGAGAAAGAAAAACGGGCCTACCAGGCCATCGCATGCCAGGAGCGGGGGGGAAGGGAGGGTTGCGCACACATGCGCAGGGTGGGGCACATAGAATTAGGGGTGTGGGCACACGCACACGCGAACCTCCCCCGCCCCCCCTCCTCCTGGCACGCAATGGCAAAAAGGTTAGCCATCACTGATCTATGGCCTATCACTTTTGTTACTGTGTGTGTGTACACTGAGAGCTTATGCACCGGAGACAAATTCTTTGTGTGTCCAATCAAAATTGGCCAACAAAATATTATATTCTGTACCATTCCTATTCCTATTTCTATTCACATGTCTTTCGCCAAAGGCTTAAAATCCTATAAAAATCTTGCCGATGTGGCCAGCTGCCCCAAAGGCAAACCTTGCACAGGTAGTCCTCGACTAACAACAGTTCGTTTAATGACCGTTCAAAGTTGCGACACTGAGAAATGTGACTTATGACCATTTTTCACACTTACGGCCGTTGCATCATCCCGATGGGCATGTAATCAAAATCCACATGCTTGGCAACTGGTTCATATGTCACGTGATTCCCCCTTTTGTGACCTTCCCACAAGCAAAGTCAATGGGAAAGCCAGCTTCACTTAACAACCGGGTTCCTAACTTACCAACTGCAGTGATTCACTTAACAACTGCAGCAGGAAAGGTCGTTAAACGGGGCAAAACTCACTTAACAACAGAAATCTTGGGCTTAATTGTAGTTGTAATTTATTTGGCTGCCCTCCCACTAATCTCAGTGAGCCTGGACGGCTTATAAACAACCTTCCAACAAGCAAAGTCAGTGAGGAAAGCTAAATTCACTTACCAAACTAAAGTGATTCATTGAATGACCGCAGCAAAAAAAAAAAAAAGGGTATGACTCACTTAACAACAGCCTCACTTAGGGACGGAAGCTCCTGTCCCAATTGTGGTCGTAAATCGAGGCCTACCTGCAAGCAGGCTGGCAAGCCTTGCTAATTTATTCAGGTGTCCCAGATTTCCATCATCCCAGGCCATGCTGCATGATGGGTATTGGAGTCCCAAACATCTGGAGAAGAAAGGCTCCAAAGAGACTAGGGAAGAGAAATGCAACCTCAAAGATAAGGCAAAAAAAGTAGATTCCACAGCCTTTAAACCCCCAACTCCCCAAAGCAGCTGCAGAGATACATGCAATAAAACAATAAAATTATAATGACCAGGAAATGCAATTAAAACGGAGCAGGCAGCTGGAGCAATGCAGAATAGCTTTGAATCCTCATTTTCCAAGCATATCTTTCACCTTCAAACAGGTAAAGTTGGGTGGGCTGCGCTCTAGGCTGGAAAAGCAGCTGCGAAAGGCAGAAAAATCGGCTTTAAAATGAACTTTGGAGCAAAGAGGAAGCCTGCCACACTCAATATGGCGGCCGTCGGGGCGCGGCAGCCATCTTGAAGAGGTCACCCTCGTATTTGTGCTGTAGAAATGGCTTCGCCGCATCCAAGATGGCGGACTAAAACCGCGGTCGCCATGTTGGGCGCGTCCTAGAGCTTTTAATCATTCCCCGCCTGGACTTCGTTAAACTGGGAAGGTATCCCGGATCCTTCACGCGCATGCGCACGCGAGGCTCGTTGCCACGGAAACGACCACCCTTTTACCCACCCAAGATGGCCGCTACGGCAAGCGACAGGGAAAGGGGATGCCCGTCCGGTCATTATATAGCGCGGATCTCGTGAGCAAACGGCAAGAACGGAACGATGGGGACGGGGCGGGGAGTCACGTTCGCGGGATGGAGCAGCGGCGCTGCTTCTCCGGGTAAGTGGACGCCCCTTCCCTCGAGAGGCGGCGGGGACGGAGACGAAGTCCCGAGGCTTCATTTGAGCGGGACGGAGCGACCTGAACGGAGTGGGGAGTGAGGAGGACTACCGCTCCCAGCGTGCCCCGCGAAGCCTCATCGCGAGCTTCGACGGTTAAGCCCCCGCGTTGCATGATGGGGATTGTGGTTTTGGGAAGAGTAAGCCCCCCCATCGGTCTGTCTAAGCAGACCCTTCTCCAACTGGGCGCCCTCCTATACGATGGGAGTTGTAGTCCAGGAGGATAGGGGGTGACAAATGACGACACCCCCCCGCATTAATTGTAGACATTTATGCCCCTTCTGGTTTGGAAGCCCCCCCCCAAATGTTCCCCTTCCTCTTAGAATGTCTGCCCCTCTTGAGTCATAGAGCCTCTGAGCATGGGCAGAGTTCATGGCTTCTCCGATATCGAGATTCCTGGGGTTTTGGGGGAGGGGGGAATGGGACCCAAAGGCGACCCATATGCCTTTGGACTACAGCTCCCATACTTTGTGGTGTAGACGTGGGATTCATAGCTCAGGACACTCATCTGGGGAACCTAATAAATCATCATTTTATTTTTTAAATTTGATTTATATGCCGCCCTTCTCCGGAGACTCAGGGTGGCTTACAATGCGTTAAGCAATAGCCTTCATCCTTTTGTATATTTATATAAAGTCAGCTTATTGCCCCCACAAACTGGGTCCTCAATTTACCTACCTTAGAAAGGATGGAAGGCTGAGTCAACCTTGAGCCTGGAGAGATTCGATCTTACTTTAATTGCAGACAGCTGGTGTTAATCACAATGCTATCAGTCTGCTGAGCCACCAGGCCCAGTCCATCATCATCATCATCATCATCTTAAGGTACTTGGTTGATACCTAGGATGCTGGCAGCAACCCTATCAACCATTAGCACCAGTCAATGGTATTTGTGACACATTTTAAAATGTTCAGTTTTCATGTTTAATGAATAAAAGAGATGATGATGATGATAATAATAGGAGGAGGAGGAGGAGGAGAAAAAGAAATAGTAGTAGTAGTAGTGGAGAAGGAAGAGGAGAAGGAGGAGGAAGAAGGAGAAGAAGAGGAAGAAGGAGAAGGAGAAGGAGAAGGAGAGAAGGAGAAGAAGAAGAAGAAGAAGAAGAAGAAGAAGAAACTTAGTTGATACCTAGGACGCTGGCAGCAACCCCTATCAACCATTAGCACCAGTCAATGGTATTTGTGACACATTTTAAAATGTTCAGTTTTCATGTTTAATGAATAAAAGAGATGATGATGATGATAATAATAGGAGGAGGAGGAGGAGGAGAAAAAGAAATAGTAGTAGTAGTAGTGGAGAAGGAAGAGGAGAAGGAGGAGGAAGAAGGAGAAGAAGAGGAAGAAGGAGAAGGAGAAGAAGAAGGAGAGAAGAAGAAGAAGAAGAAGAAGAAGAAGAAGAAGAAGAAGAAGAAGAAGAAGAAGAAGAAGAAGAAGAAGAAGAAGAAGAAGAAGACTTGGTTGATACCTAGGACGCTGGCAGCAACCCGTATCAACCATTAGCACCAGTCAATTGTATTTGTGACACATTTTTAAATGTTCAGTTGACTGAGTTTCATGTTTAATGAATAAAGTAAATAATAATAATGTATAATGTCAATGGTATTTGTGATGCATTTTTGAATGTTCAGTTGACTGAGTTTCATGTTTAATGAATATGTAAATCATCATCATCATCAACAACAACTAACAATAGTGGTAACAACAGCTAGAGCATCTTCTGTAGCCTTTATCACTTATCCTTTTTTAAAAAAACATTAGGAACAGTTTGTTAATCACAGTGAAAATGTTTTTCAGACATTTATTTTCGAATGAGTAACTTGCTTCCTGCTTGGCAAACAAACTAGTTTCTTCTGCATTAGTAAGCATTTTTATTCTTATTACTTGGATAAAAACAGAAACAAACAGCAAAGAAAAAAGGAGGTCAAGAGGCAAGAATAGAATACATAATAGGTAATGATGTATATAGTGGTATATAATCCCCAATTCATCTGTTTTATTTACTGTATATCGACCCATCATGTAGAGGTGACTCTTATTGGTATTCATCTATTTAAACGTTTAAATGATATTTAAACATATATCTAATTAAAAATATTATTGCTGTATACAGCTATATACTGTACTGAGCTGAGACGTAAGTGAGAATTCAGAAGGTGAGATTTAATGTACTGATTAAGAGAAAAGTAAATATATTTTTTTTCCTGGTTCCTATTTAAAAAAACATTTAAACAGCTGCTGTCTGGAGTGTCAGCTGGGTTCTGATTTCCCAGCATGAATGGATAATAAATCACGCTGGAACGAGGAAGGCAATTTAAAAAAAGGTTAAATCATGGCCAAACTTTGTAAAAACTTTGGTCCAATTGCCTTAATCTAACCTTTAGATACCTTTGGCCTGGATGATTGAGTTTTCATTAGTATGAGGAAGGCAATTATTTTAGCTGTTTATTTCTGCAAAGGTGCCCTGAATAAAAGTTAATTCAGATATTTATACAAAAAGTTTTTTTTTTCTTTACATCCTGTCAATCTACCAGTAATGTGATTTCTCTCACAAGATTAGTGTTCACTAATATTTATTTATTTATTTATTTATTTATTTATTTATTTATTTATTTATTTATTTATATTTCTATACCGCCCTTCTCCCGAAGGACTCAGGGCGGTGAACAGCCACAGGATAAAACACATAAATACAAAAAATTTAAAATAGAATAAAAACGAATTAAATAATTTGGCTGAACAAATTTTAAATACCCCATAATTTAAAAACAAATTAAAACAATTTAAAAAGGGGAGAAGATTTAGGCCAGGCCAGCTTGATGAAATAAAAAAGTCTTAAGCGCGCGACGGAAGGTGCGCAGATCCGGGATCCTCCGTATCTCCGGGGGGAGCTCGTTCCAGATCGTAGGTGCCCCCACAGAGAAGGCTCTCCCCCTGGGGGCCGCCAGTTGACATTGTTTGGCCGACGGCACCTGGAGGAGCCCCTCTCTATGGGAGCGTACTGGTCGGTGGGAGGCTATTGGTGGTAGCAGGCGGTCCCGTAGATAATCTTGGTTGATACTTTTGCCTTTTGTTCGTACAAGATAACAAAACCTCAATCCAATCTCGTTGTCAGATATCTTTTGTACAGAATACAGGATAACAGCGTTGAAAGGGATCTTGGAGGTCATCTAGTCCAACCCTACTCCAACTACTCAAGAAACCCTTTTTCCTTTCTTCTTTCTTCTTTCTTCTTTCTTCTGTCTCTTCTTTCCTTCCTTCCTTCCTTCCTTCTCCTTCCTTCCCTCCCTCCCTTCTTTCCTTCCTTCCTCCCTCTTTACCTGTGTCTTCTTTCCCTTTCTATCCATCATTCCTTTCTCAGAATAACAAGAGGATTGGAAGGGACCTTAGAGGTCTTCTAGTCCAGCCCGCTGCTCAAACAGGAGACCCCAGTCCTATTCAGTTCAGTTTCAGTTTCAGTTTATTTGATTTGTATACCGCCGTACTCCCGAAGGACTCAGGGCGGTGAACAGCCAAACAATAAAATACATAGATACAAAAAATTTAAAAACCAGATAAAATCAAATTAAATCATTTTGGCCCAGACAGATTAAAACACCCCAATAATTTAAAAACAGATTAAAATTTACATATTTAAAAAAGGGAAGAGATTAGGCCAAGCCCGCCTGATGGAATAAAAAGATCTTCACAGCGCGGCGGAAGGTGCGCAGATCGGGGATCCTCCGTATCTCCGGGGGGAGCTCATTCCAGATGGTAGGTGCCCCCACAGAGAAGGCCCTCCCCCTGGGGGCCGCCAGTCGACACTGCTTGGCTGACAGCACCCGGAGGAGCCCCTCTCTATGAGAGCGTACTGGCCGGTGGGAGGCTATTGGTGGTAGCAGGCGGTCCCGTAGATAACCAGGTCCTAAGCCATGGAGCGCTTTAAAGGTGGTAACCAAAACCTTGAAGCGCACCCGGAAGACCACCGGGAGCCAGTGCAGCTCGCGCAGGAGGGGTGTTACATGGGAACGCCATGTCGCTCCCATTACCACCCGCGCGGCCGCACTCTGCGCCAGTTGGAGCCTCCGGGTGCTCCTCAAGGGGAGCCCCATGTAGAGAGCGTTGCAATAGTCCAGGCGGGAGGTGACGAGGGCATGAATGACCGTGCGTAACGAGTCCCGATCCAGAAACTGGCGAATCAGGCGAACCTGATGAAAAATCCTCCCGGTCAATACATTAAAACTCAAGATTGTACATGGGATGCATGTGGGATTGTAATCTAAATGTTTATTTATTTATTTTTTTACCTTAGCCGTAGAGGTTTATGGAGAAAACAGTTCTGTTGTGAGGTGACTGTTGGCTCCCACATTATCCGATTTGTAAAAAGTTTCATGCAAGGAAACATTTCTAGAAAAGAGATTTGCTGTCTTCGAAATAGCAAACTTAGGGCCCTTTGCATTTGTTAATCACAAGAATATATCCAACTAGGGCAGCAGTCACCAACTGGTGGTCCGCAAGAAAATTTTGATGGTCCGCAGAAAAATTATTTGCATTTTTTATATTGCACTAAATCGGGGGTCCTCAAACTACGGCTTTGCTGAGGAATTCTGGGAGTTGACGTCCACAAGGCTTAAAGTTGCCAAGGTTGGAGACTCCCGACTTCACCAGTTTAACAGCTGCCATGATTCACTTAACAACCACGGCAAGAAAAGCCGTAAAATGGGGCAAAGCTCACTTAACCACTGTCTCACTGAGCAACGTAAAAATTTGGGGCTCAATTACGGTCGCAAGTCGAGGACTACCTGAAATGGTTTTGATTTTCTTTTAGTTTTGAGCAGTCTGGGGACAGCTTTGCTTCTTTGGCAGTCCCATTTTTTTCGGGATCGATCGATCATCTTCAGATAAGGATTGATTGTCTTCGGAGAGTTGAAAAATTTCCCCCACTGAGGCGTCACAAGGGCAATTTTTTTCCATTGTAAAAACCACAGATAAGTTTATCATGTGATTGTCCGCGAAGAGTCACAATTTGCTTTGGGTGATAACTGTATTTTTCATGGCAGTTTGGCGTCTTGAGGCTGGATTTTTTTGGGGGGTGGTTTTTCTTAGAAAAACTGAGAATTTCCTCTTTCGTGTTCTCTTTTGCAGCTGTCGGCTTTTTCGGCGCAATGGCGAATAGACTCAGCCTTTTCTCGCTGCTGTTTCTATCCTTCGTCTCGTTCGCAGCCTGCGGTAAGTGATTTTTGGCTTGCAAAATCAGAATTTTCCGGTTTTCTTTTTCAACCTGTTCAACATCTGCTTCCTGTTTTTTAAGAGGTGCTTTATAAGAGTTTTTCTGACTTAACCACTTTCAGCTGAGCGGACTTCAACCCCCAGAATTCCCCAGCCAGCAGAATTCCACCTATCTTAAAAAAAAAGGCATGCTGGCTGGGGAATTCTGGTAATTGAAGTCCACCCACCTTAAAGCATGCTGCCTGTGGAATTCTGGGAGTTGGAGTCTCCCCCCCCCAGGTTAAAGTTGCCATATTGGAAAAACACGGCTGTAGATAAACCGGCTGGTTAAATTCATCTCTTCTTCCCTTTCCAGCACCTGCCCCCTATTTATGCATGCATGGATGCAAATGAGATATTTTTAAACTATATCCCTAAATCTAGAGGGAGGATGCTGAGAAAATTTGAGTATCTCCTTTCAGTGTTTATCTCTACATGGGCTCTATAGCAAAGGGGGTCCGATCTGGGTAACATGAAGACCTGTAGACTTCAACTCCCACAATTCCTTAGCCAACATCTTTATTCCTCCTCCCCTCCTCCTCCTCCTCCCTCCTTTTCTTCCTTCTCTCCTCCCCTTTTCCTTCTTTCTCATCACCTCCCTCCTTCCCCTTCCTTCCTTCTGGTCACGGTTCCAAGTAATAAATCCATTTCAAGCAACAATCCAAGGCAAAGTAGATTCCTCAAAGAATAGCTTTCTTGGAACGATCATACTGGCACATATCTGGTGAAAACCCGACTCTGAAAAGTCCCGCGGTTTTTCACCTGATTAAAAGTTTTCCTCTCAACCCCAAACAGTCAGTCACATGGTCCAATCAATGCGCTGTCTGATGGTCTGGTGACATCATTCCTCCTTCCTCTGACCAGGTGCAAGAACGTCCTTGGTTCCCAAGAGAAAGTATTTGGTTTCGACTACACAACCCCAGCTGTCTCTAATCCCCCCTCCCTATCCCTCAACTCCATTGTGGCAGCACTGAAGCTCCAAGATGGCTTCGGCCAGGCCAGCTTCAGGGTTGACTCCTTCCTTCCTTCCTCCCATCCATCCATCCTTCTTTCCTTTCCTTTTTTCTTTCTCCTTCTTTCTTTCCTTCTTCCTTCCTTCCTCTCCTTCCTTCCTTCCTCTCCTTCCTTCCTTCCTTTCATCCTTCTTTCCTTTCCTTCCTTCCTTCTTTCTTCCTTCCTTCCTTCCTCTCCTTCCTTCCTTTCCTTTCTTCCTTCTTGTCCTTTCTTTCCTTCTTGTCCTTTCTTTCCTTCTTACTTCCTTCCTCTTCCTTCCCTCTTCTCCTTCTTTCTTTCTTTCCTTCCTTCTTCTTCCTTCCTCTCCTTCTTTCTTTCCACTTTCTTCCTTCTTCTCCTTCTTTCTTTCCTTCTTCTTCCTTCCTTTCTCTCCTTCCTTCCTTCCTTCCATCCTTCTTTCTTTTCCTTTCTTCCTTCTTGTCCTTTCTTTCCTTCTTCCTTCCTTCCTCTTTCTTCCCTCTTCTCCTTCTTTCTTTCTTTCCTTCTTCCTTCCTCTCCTTCCTTCTTTCCACTTTCTTCCCTCTTCTCCTTATTTCTTTCTTTCCTCCTTCTTCCTTCCTCTCCTTCCTTCCTCTCCATCCTTCCTTTCATCCTTCTTTCCTTTCCTTTCTTCCTTCTTGTCCTTTCTTTCCTTCTTCCTTCCTTCCTCTTTCTTCCCTCTTCTCCTTCTTTCTTTCTTTCCTCCTTCTTCCTTCCTCTCTTCCTTCCTTCCTTCTTTCTTCTCCTTCCATCCATCCATCCACCCATCTTGATTTGAAGTTGAAAATCCACACACCTTAAAGCTGCCAACATTGGAAACCACTGGTCTAGAACAGGGATCTCCAACCTTGGCAAACTTTTAAGTCCTTGTGGACTTCAACTCCCAGAATCCCTCAACCAGCCATGAGGAATTCTGGGAGTAAAAGTCCTCCGATCTTAATGTCGTCAAGATTAGACACCCTTGGGCTGTAGTCAAAGAAAAGGTGACACGGAAAATTGGAGGTGGGTTTGTTTTTTTTTAATTTGATTTATATGCCGCCCTTCTCCGGAGACTCAGGGCGGCTTACAATGCATTAAGCAATAGCTGTCATACTTTTTGTATATTTATACAAAGTCAGCTTATTGCCCCCACAAACTGGGTCCTCATTTAACCTACCTTAGAAAGGATGGAAGGCTGAGTCAACCTTGAGCCTGGTGAGATTCGAACCTGCAGTAATTGCAGGCAGCTGTGTTAATAACAGGGTGCTTTAGACCACTGTGCTACCAAAGCTCTTTTTTGGGGTGTGTTACACCCAAAGGGCAATCTCCTCCAGGCCTTGAGCTAAGATCTGGGGGGAAGCTCATGTGCCAGCCTCTTAAATGGACTGGATAATGTGGGTTCCACTCAGGGGTGAAATGCTTCCAGTTCGGACCGGATCGCCCGATCTGGTAGCGATGGAGGCGGGTGGTTCGGAGAACCGGTAGCAAAAATCCCTGCCCTAACCCCACCCCCCCATTGCCCTGCTGAGCGGTGCAATCATCAGAGGCTTTTTTTTATTTTTAAAAGCATTTTTTCTACAACCTCTTTGGCTGAAAAAATGCTTTTAAAAGTAAAAAAAAAAAAAAGCCTCTGATGATCGCACGGCTCAGCTGGGATCATCAGAGGCTTTTAAAAGCATATTTTCTACAACCTCTTCAGCTGAAGAGGTTGTAGACAAAATGTTTTTAAAAAGAAAAAAAAGCCTCTGCCGATCAGGCAACTCAGCTGGGATCGTCAGAGGCTTTTAAAAGCATTTTTTTTTTACAACCTCTTCAGCCGAAGAGGAGGTAGAAAAAATGGTTTTAAAAGTTTTTTTTTAAAAAAAAGTTGGCCACGCCCACTCAGTCATATTATCCCCCCACCACCACCAAGCCACGCCCACAGAACCGGTAGTAACAAATTTTACATTTCACCACTGGTTCCAACGCTGCCAAATCAAAATATTCTTGTCCAAAACCAGGAACGTGGGATGGAAAGGGACTTCAAACTTTCCTGATGGTTTTTTTTCCCCCCTCTTCCCAGTTGAAAAAGACGTACCCCCTGCTATCTCTGCTCCTGAACAGGTTTCCCTAGAAAACCACAGCGTGAAAAAAATCACACTCGCCTTCAGGTAAACCGCCTCCGATATTTTGCACCTTCCACCTCAAGGTAAACACACCTGGGGGGGGGGAACCCAGGAAGTGCTAATCAGGCAAGTCATTCGGGATGCAGTCACTCCCGGTGATAAGAATTCAATTTTCTTTGTTCTGTTGGGACTTTCTGTCTGGGCATGACTTGTAGGATGTGTTGTGGCCCGTATGTGGCCTGTGCAGCTAGTAGCTGATTCAGACAGCGAGGAAACTGGTGTGGTGCTGCGCCAGCAGCCTGTGCAGCTGGCACTCGAGTCGGACAATGAGGAGGCTGGAGAAGATGTGGTGCCAGAGGCGGGGATTCAGCCAGGGCCTTCAGAACCTCCAGAAGCTCCCATAAGTGAAGAGGAAGAAGAGGAGGAGCCTCTTCTCGATGCACGGGCACGCAGAGCTGCCAAAAGGCAGGAGTGGCTCCTCAGGAGGAGGTCTCCTCGAGAGTAAGGCTTGGGGCTAATTGGCCATTCCCCTAGCCTATTTAAGGAGGAACACCGATGGAAGCAATTTGCAGGGAACAACTTCGTTCACTCTCCTTCCTGTCTTGTCTTGCTTATCTTATCAGCTTCCTGCAAATTGCTTCTGGGCATTCTGCCAACCATAGTAAGCTTTCAGTTATTATTCTTTGACTTCTTGGCGGCTGTTTATGCAATTAATTAACAGCCGTTGTTGTAAAAGACTGGTTTATTCAGTAAATTAAGGTTTGAACGGACTTTGTGTGTGCTGCGTTCTTTGGGGTCCGTAGCTGGGGCAGAACAGGATGATGTTATCGTCAGCGATGGGTTTCGCATATTCTTACCACCAGTTCGCCCCGCGTGCGTGTGCGCCTTTCTGCACATGTTCTTTGCTTGCGCATTCACCTTCCGCGCATACGCCCGGCCTCGAAAACATGACTAAATAGGACGGCATTACATCCTATTTAGGACCTACCCACAAGACTCCGCTACTGGTTTTCTCGAACCGGCTGAATACCACCTGTGGTTATCGTGCTGCGAATCCTAACTTTCATGTCGTCCCGGCCGGGAATAGCAAGGGCTGGGCCCCATCAGCAGGGCTAGATGGCACCGGGGGGAGGCTGAGGGTGCCAATTCTCCCGGCTGCATCTTTGCGGTTTTCCTATTTCTTGATGCCCCTGCAGAGCTCCCCCCAATGAGACTTTGGCGGTAAGGTTCAACATGACCTATACGTCCAAGGAGAACATCACCATCGTTGAACTGCCCGACCAGGTAAGTGTTTAGATGTAGATTTGAGCTTGCTTGAATTGGATTCGACCAGTCAGTTCAGTCTGTTAACATTTTGCAATTTAGGTATAGGTCAGGAGTCAGCAATCTGCGGCTCTGGAGCCAGATGTGGCTCTTTCATCCCTCTGCTGCGGCTCCCCGTCACTCAAAATACGCGTCACAGCCACCAACGTGCAACACCCACCGGCACATGATTTATTGAGCTTTTCAACCCCCAGTCGTCCAACCATGGATAAATCCAAGAAAAGAAAAGTTTTAGAAGAAAACAGAACGTTTAATTCAACTACATATGCTAGTTTTGTGGCCACTCAAGAAATAGTCAGGCACGGGAAGGGTTTTGTGGCTCCCGGTGTTTTCTTTTCTGTGGGAAACGGGTCCAAATGGCTCTTTGAGTGTTTAAATTTGCAGACCCCTGGTATAGGTAGTCCTTGACTTACCCACCCATCTTTTCACTTAGTGGCCGGCTGAAGTTATAACGGCACAGTTACGACCATTTTTCCTACGTATGACTGTTGTAGCATCTCCCACAGTCATGTGATCAAAATTAGGATGCTTGGCAGCTGGCATGTACTTATGACAGTTGCAGCATCCCGGGGTGATCTGATCCATTTTTGCGACCTTCTGACAAGCAAAGCCAATAGAAAAGCCAGATTCGCTTAATAACCATGTTTCTAACTTAACGACTGCATTGGTTCACTTAACAACGGTGTCGTGAAAGGGGGCAAAGCGGGGGCAAAACTCACGTAACCGCTCTCTTGCATAGCAACAGAAATTTGGGGCTCCGTTGTGGTCGTAAGTTGAGGTCCATCTATAGTCCTCAACTTATGGCCGATCGCTTAGCAACCATTTGAAGTTTCAACGTTGCCCCCCCCATGCTCGCATGACACATTCTGGGATGCTCAGCAACTGACTCGCATCTAGGTCTGTCCGCAGCCAGATGACTATGATTGATGACAATTTTTTCTGCAAATGTTTCCAGCACAAAAATAACCCAAAGCAAATAATGGGTTTAACAACTGCAGCGTGCCATAACCACTTGTTCACTTTATGACCATTGCAAAAAGATTGTAAAATTGGCTTTACAAACAAGCATCACTACTTAACAGCTGTAATTGCCAGGCTCAATTACTGTCGTAACTTGTACATCTGTAGATCATATCTGACTACCTGTATATCTCTAGTCCTAACTCCAGAATGTCCGGCTTGAAGTGGGAAAAACTTTAGATCAGGGGTCTCCAAATTTGGCATGCTTTAAGATGGGTGGACTCCAACTCCCAGAATTCCCCAGCTGGCATGCTTTAAGATAGACGGACTTCCATTCCCAGAATTCCCCAGCCAGCATGCTTTAAGAGGGGTGGACTTCCATTCCCAGAATTCCCCAGCCAGCTTGCTTTAAGAGGGGTGGACTTCCATTCCCAGAATTCCCCAGCCGGCAATGCTTTAAGAGGGGTGGACTTCCACTCCCAGAATTCCCCAGCCAGCATGCTTTAAGAGGGGTGGACTTCCACTCTCAGAATTCCCCAGCCAGCATGCTTTAAGAGGGGTGGACTTCCATTCCCAGAATTCCCCAGCCAGCTTGCTTTAAGAGGGGTGGACTTCCATTCCCAGAATTCCCCAGCCGGCATGCTTTAAGAGGGGTGGACTTCCATTCCCAGAATTCCCCAGCCAGCTTGCTTTAAGAGGGGTGGACTTCCACTCCCAGAATTCCCCAGCCAGCATGCTTTAAGAGGGGTGGACTTCCACTCCCAGAATTCCCCAGCCAGCAATGCTTTAAGAGGGGTGGACTTCCACTCCCAGAATCCCCAGTTTGAAGCATGGCTGGCCAGGGAATTCTGGAAGTTGAAATCCACCCATTGTTAAAATTGCCAAGGTTGAAAAACTCTAAGCCCCAAGACAAGGTGGAGTCAGTATCCATCTGGATATTGACATCCATCTGGCCACACGCCCATCCCTTGAATCTCATTGGCAGTTCATATATTTTATGTCTCCATCCCTGACAGGTCATCATTGCAGCAGGCCAAAAGGAGGCACATTTCCTTGTGAAAGCTAAAGAGGTCGGGCAGGTGACGGTATATCTACAAGTGAACGCATCCCACGACACAGGGTAAGCGCCCATCCCGAACCATGTTCGGCCGGTGATTCTATTCATCGAGATGTAATTTCACTTAGTGGCCATTTCCCCTTCTCTACTCCAGACACTTTAGACATCCGCCTCCAACTGAGGCTGTTGTCAGGTTTCGATGCTTTGTCAAAATAAATGAATTTCCAAACTGCCGATCTTTAAGGAAATTTTCTCTTTATTCGAGCACAGCAATCTGATCCTGACTCTTTCGCGGTCAGTACTGACCTTTGCCCCCCAATCCCTCCCTTTCCGATCCCCAATTCTCTGCTTCTCATTGGCTATCTTTCAAGTCACTTTCCTGATTCCTTCTTCGTCAGATCACAGGAATGTCTCCCCCCTCCCCATCTCCGAGGAGACCGAATCTTCAAAAGGGATTTAGCAGGCAAAAGTTCAGGCTTCTCCTCCCTTTTCTATGTCAGCGCTGAGACGCTGACAGCTGTGTTGTGTCTGTGGGCGCCAGTGGTGGAATTGTAGGAGGAGAAGCGGAAGAGCCCGGAGGGCGGCGTCAAGCAAGTCATCAGCCTAGAATCGTTACGTTCCCACAAACATAACCTCTCCCTCGTTCCTTTGCAGGCCCAGAATCCGGTTCCTTGTGATCCACAGCAAGGCCATAAACATTGTGGACCAAGTGATCGGTTGGATCTATTTCCTAGCCTGGTCGGTTTCCTTCTACCCTCAGGTGTATGAGAATTGGAGACGCAAAAGGTAAAAGACACGACGATCCTCATTTACCGTCCTCTGCAAGCTGCCATTGTTAACCTGCGAGATGGCATTGAGAAGGCGTAGCAGCGGTTGGCACGGCGCATGTGTGTGTGACACCCCCCTCGCGCCCTGTTTTGGGCTAGCGGGCCTCCCTGAAGCCTCCTGGGACCAAAACTGGGCTGCGGGGGGGGCACCGCTCCCCCCGTGCATGCACCCATGACCCCCCCATCCACATGCACATGCACATGCATCTCCCACGTGTGCCCTGCACATGCGTAGCAGAGACCTGAAAATCAGATGGCTGGCGGGAGGCGCGCGGGGTGGATCTGAGCTGGGGCGACGGCTCGCATGCCCGCAGAGAGAGCTCTGCGTGCCACCAGTGGCACATGTGCCATATGTTCACCATCATGGTCTTAAAGCATGCAGGCTGGGGAATTCTGGGAGTTGAAGTCCAGCCATCTTTTATTTTCTTTTATATTCTTTTATTATTCTTTTATTTTATTATAATTTTATTATTATTTTTATTTTATTTTATTTTACTTTACTTTTTATTTTATTTTATATTTTATGGTTTATATTTTATTTTATATTTTATTTTATATTTTATTTATTTTATTTTATTATAATTTTATTATTTTTATTTTATTTTACTTTTTATTTTATTTTATTTATTTTATATTTTTTATTTTATTTTATTTTATTTTACTTTATTTTATTTTTTATTTTATTTATTTTATTTTATATTTTATATTTTATGTTTTACGTTTTATGTTTTATATTTTATATTTTATATTTTATATTTTATATTTTATTTTATTTATTTTATTTTATTATAATTTTAGTATTTTTATTTTATTTTACTTTACTTTTTATTTTATTTTATTTATTTTATATTTTATTTTATTTTACTTTACTTATTTTATTTTTTATTTTATATTTTGTTTTATGTTTTACGTTTTACGTTTTATGTTTTACATTTTAATTTTATATTATTTTATATTTTATATTTTATATTTATTTTATTTTATTTATTTTATTTTATTATAATTTTATTATTTTTATTTTATTTTACTTTACTTTTTATTTTATTTTATATTTTATTTTATTTTACTTTATTTTATTTTACTTTATTTTATTTCATTGAAAGGACAGTGCCATGTCAGGATAACAATGCCCATAAAGCACAACCAGAGAGAGATCAATGATAAATAACATACGTGCTAATGACTATAATTGTACTATGTTAACAGTAATTGCAACAATACAACCCCCCCAAAAAAAAGGAAATAAAAGGAAATTTTTAAGCCCAGCCATCTTAAAGTACGCTGGCTGGGGAAATTCTGGGAATTGAATTCCGCTTATTTTAAAATTTTCCAAAGTTGGAACACAGTGGCCTAGAACTGGATTTTCCCAGCTCACTGACAATTATGATCACAAAATGCTGAGTTTAGTGCATTCGTGAAGTTCCTGAAATTAGCTAAGTTCCTCCCACAACTCTTCTTCTCAAACTTATTCATCCGTTCCTTTCGCCAGCGTTGTGGGACTCAGTTTCGATTTCATCGCTCTGAACCTGACCGGCTTCATTGCCTACAGCGTCTTCAACATCGGACTCTTTTGGATTGTCCCCATAAAGGTACCCAGAAGGTCCCGCCTTCTTCTCTGGCTGGGTGTCATCCGTCAACTTGGGGCACCAATTCTGGTGTAACCTCTTGGCCTTCTTCCACAGGAGCAGTTCCTGCACCGGTATCCCAATGGCGTGAATCCCGTAGCCAGCAATGATGTGTTTTTCAGCCTCCACGCGGTGGCCATCACTCTGTTCACCATCTTCCAGTGCTTAATCTATGAGGTAGGTGCACTGATGGTGTTGCCTAGTTGGGTCATGAAACAACCAAGTTCAGAGAGCACCAAGGACCCTATGTCTGTCTGTCTGCCTCTATCTATCTATCTATCTATCTATCTATCTATCTATCTATCTATCTATCTATCTATCTATCTATCATCTCTCTACCTACCTACCTCTCTCTCTGTCCGTCCGTCCATCCATCCATCTATCCATCCATCTCTCTCTCTATCTATCTTCTATCTACCATCTACCTACCTACCGCTGTCTCTGTCCATCCATCCATCCATCTATCTCTCTCTATCGATCTATTTACCTATCTCTCTCTCTCTCTCTTCTACCATCTACCTACCTCTCTCTCTATCCGTCCATCCATCCATCCCTCCATCTCTCTTTCGATCTATCTATCTTCTATCTACCATCTACCTACCTACCTGCCTACCTCTCTCTCTCTCCATCCATCCATCTCTCTCTCTCTCTCTCTTGATCCATCCATCCATCATCTATCTATCTATCTATCTATCTATCTATCTATCTATCTATCTATCTATCTATCTATCTATCTATCTATCTATCTATCTATCTATCGTCTATCTATCTATGAGCTGTGGTGGCACAGTGGTTAGAACGCAGTACTGCAGGCTATTTGAAATTTGGCAGTTCAAATCTCACCATATTCAAGGTTGACTCAGCCTTCCATCCTTCCAAAGAAGCTGACTCTGTCAACCGCTTAGAGAGGGCTGTAAAAGCACTGCGAAGTGGTATATGAGTCTACATGCTATTGCATGATTTTACTCAAATTCAGCAAAACCGTTTGGCAGACTAAGAACATTCCTCTGGCCACGGGCCGCCCAGCGTCAAATTCTTTTGCCACCCTTGAGTTGACCGGTGAATTCCTTGCATTTATGCCCACTGGAATCCGATTTCTGAGGCCGAATTCTCACTATAGACAATGTTAACACTCACTCTCTCTTTACTTCCCCTGCAGAGAGGGACTCAGAAGGTTTCTCGAGTCGCCATTGCGTGCCTGGTGGCAGCGTGGCTGTTCGTCTTCTCCACTTTGGCCGTGACGGTCGCCCAAGAGATCACCTGGTTGCAATTCTTGTTTTATTTCTCCTACATCAAGCTGGCAATCACGCTCATCAAATACTTCCCTCAGGTGAGCGAAGGAAGGATCGGTTTTCAATTACCGTTTCCCCCGAAAATAAGACCGGGCTTTATATTAATTTTTGCTCCAAAAGATGCATTTATTTATTTATTATTTAAATTTATATACCGCCCTTCTCCCGAAGGACTCAGGGCGGTGTACAGCCAAAAATAAAAACATAAAAATATAAAATTTAAAACAGTATAAAAGTATATTAAACAAATTTGGTCCATATTGATTACAAAAACCCTCTTTTTTAAAAAAATGAATTAAAAACAATTAAAAGAGCTACGCCAGCCCGGCTTGCTGGAATAGAAAACTTTTGAGGGCACGGCGGAAGGTGCGTAGATCTGGGATCCTTTGTATCTCCGGGGGCAGCTGGTTCCAAAGGGCAGGTGCCCCCACAGAGAAGGCTCTTCCCCTGGGGGCTGCTAATCGACATTGTTTGACCAACAGCACCCTGAGGAGCCCCTCTCTGTGGGAGCCTACTGGCCGGTGGGAGGCTATCGGTGGCAGAAGGCGGTCTTGTAGATACTCAGGTCCTAAGCCATGGAGCGCTCTAAAGATGGTAACCAAGACCTTGAAGCGCACCCGGAAGACTACCTGGAGCCAGTGCAGCTCGCGCAGGAGAGGTGTTACATGGGAGCGCCACGTCGCTCCCACAATCACCCGCGCGGCCGCATTCTGGACCAGTTGGAGCCTCCGGGTGCTCTTCAAGGGGAGCCCCATGTAGAGAGCATTACAGTAGTCCAGGCGGGAAGTGACAAGGGCATGAGTGATCGTGCGCAAGGAGTCCCGGGCATTAGGGCTTATTTTCTGGTTAGGTCTTATTTTTGGGGAAATATGGTACTAAATCAGTGAGGGCTAAACTTTTTGCCATCGCGTGCGAAAAGCGGGGGGTGAGGGGGGGAGATACACACGCATGTTTGCCCGCATCCATAATTCTATGCGCCCCGCCCCTCCCTCATGCTCCCCCTGCTTTTGGCACGTGATGGCACGGTGCGCCCAGTAGGCCCATTTTTCGCTCTCCCCAGGCTCCAGGGCCTTTCTAGGAGCCTGGGGAGGGCAAAAACAGCCTTCCCCACCCTTCCTAGAGGCCCTCCGGAGGCTGGAAACAGCGTGTTTCCTGACTTCTGGTGGGCCAAGAAGGCTCGAAAATCAACTGGCTGGTGCACGCATGCGTGCCAGAGCTGAGCTCGCGTGCCCACCGATATGGCTCTACCTGCCACCTGTGGCAGAAGTGCCATAGGTTTGCCATCATGGTACTAAATACGCCATCTGGCTAACAATCTTAACGGGGGCTTATTTTGGGGGAAGAGTTTATATTACAAGCATCCTGAAAAATCATGCTAGGACTTATTTTGCGGTTGGGTCTTATTTTCAGGGAAACAGGATACTTCGCCGAAAAGCTTAGATTTTTCCCGATTCTCTTCCGCTGTGGACTCCGCGGTCCACACCGGAAAAGGGTACAGGTGGCCCTCAACTTACAATCACAAGTGAGCCCCAAATTTCTGCGCCTTAGCAAGATGGCTGCTAAGCGAGTTTTTGCCCCATTTTATGATCTGCCTTGCCACAGCTGTTAAGCGAATCCCTGCCGTTGTTCAGTTAGCAACACGGTTGTTAAGTGAATCTGGCTTCCCCATTGACTTTGCTTGTCGGAAGGTCGCAAAAGGGGATCACATGACCCTTCCCGTCGTAAATATGAGTCAGTTGCCAGAAGTCCAAATTTTGATCATGAGACCATGAAGACGCTGGTAGTCCTTGACGTACAACCATTGATTTAGTGACCGTTCAGTTCCAATGGCACTGAAAAAAATGATCTGTCACTGTTTTTCATACGACTGGCAGCATCCCCACGAACACATAATCAAAATTTGTACACTTGGGAACTGGTTCATATTTATGACGGTTGCAATGTGCCGGGTATCATTTTGCGACTTTTTGGCGCAATGCAATGTCAACAGGGAAGCCAGATTCACTTAACAACTGTGTTACTAACTGTGGTGGCGTAGTGGTTAGAATGTAGTATTGCAGGCTAAACTCTGCCCACAGCCCGGAAGTTCGATCCTGACTGGTTCAAGGTGGACTCAGCCTTCCATCCTTGCGAGGTCGGTAAAATGAGGACCCAGATTGTTGGGGGCAAAATGCTGACTCTATAAACCTCTTAGGGAGGGCTGTAAAAGCACTGTGAAGCGGTATATGCTGTTGCTTGGGAAGGAAGGGAAGGAAGGAAGAAAGGAAAGGAAGGAGGGAGGGAGGGAGGGAAGGGAAGGAAGGGAGGGAGGGAGAGAGGGAGGGAAGGAAGGAAGGGAAGAAAGAAAGAAGGGAGGGAGAGGAAGGGAAGGAAGAAAGGGAGGAAAGGAAGGAAGGAAAGGAAGGAGAGGGAAGGAAGGGAGAAAGAGAGGAGAGATGGAGGGAAGGAAGGAGGGAGAGAGAGAGAGGAAAGGAAGGAGGGAGGGAAGGAAGGAAAGGAGGGAGGGAGAGAGGGAGGGAGGGAAGAAAGGAAAGGAAGGAAGGAAGGGAGGGAGAGAGGGAGGGAGGGAAGGAAGAAAGGAAGGAGGGAGGGAGAGAGAGGAAGGGAAGGATGGAAGAAAGAAAGGGAAGGAAGGAAGGAGGGAGGGAGAGAGGGAGGGAAGGAAGGAAGGAAGGAAGGGCTATTGCTACTAATTTAACTGTCATTCACTTAACAACTTTGGCAAGAAAGGTGGTCAAATGAGGCAAAACTCAGGAACTGTCTCACTTAACAATGGAAATTTTGGGCTCGGATGTGGTTGTAAGTGAAGGATTTTACCTGTGGCTCTTTTCTCTCTGACGCACTGTGCGACATTGGGAAAGGAGAAGATGCTAATTTGTTTTGAGGTCTTGATTGTGGAAGAGCTGTTCTTTTCCTACTTACCCAGCATCCTGGTCTTTTTTTTAGGCCTACCTAAACTTCCGCCGGAAGAGCACCATGGGCTGGAGTATTGGCAACGTCCTGCTGGACTTCACCGGAGGTGCCTTCAGTCTCATCCAGATGTTTCTACAATCCTACAACAACGGTAAGAGCAGCCCGTTGTGGCAGACAAGAGAAGGTGGCATACAGCTAGTCCTCGATTTATGTCCATCATTGAGCCCAAAATTCTATTATTAAGAGGCAGTTAAGTCATAAATATGAATCAGTTGCCAAGTGTCTGAATTTCGATCACGTGACCAGGGGGATGCTGCAAAGGTTGTAACTGTGAAAAACGGTCATAAGTCGCATTTTTCAGTGCCTTTGTAACTTTGAACGATCACTAAATGAACTATTGTAAATCGAGGGCTACCTGTATGCGCCTAACAAGAGCTACCCTTAATCCCTATTCACTGCATAGATAGATTGTCCTTAATTTATGGCCGTAGTCAGGATTAAGTAAGTAACTAAGTAAGGCATGCCCAATTTTACAACCTTTTTTTTTTGTGGTTGTAAACAGTTTTGGTTGATTGTTCAGAGCGTGCTGGCTCCTGTATGATTCAATCTGAGCTGTGATTGGTTGCTATGATTGTGGAGGGGGCGTTTCCCTTTCTTCCCCACCTTTTTCTTCTGTGTGCCGTTGCTTTGTGATTTATCTCACAATGTGTCTGCTGTGTCAATTTACCTCAGGATGCTCCTGCTGTACTGATTTACCTCAGGATGCTCCTGCTGCGCTGATTTACCTCAGGATGCTCCTGCTGCGCTGATTTACCTCAGGATGCTCCTGCTGCGCTGATTTACCTCAGGATGCTCCTGTTGTGTCGAATTACCTCAGGATGCTCCTGCTGTGCTGATTTATCTCAGGATGTTCCTCCTGTGTTGATTTACCTCAGGATGCCCTTGTTTGCCTGACTATCTAGTTTTCTGTATATAGATGCAAAATATATTTTTCTATATAAAACTACGAGTTCGTGTCAGCGTCTCTGATTCCATTTAGATACCTGCTGCGCAATTTTCTTACAAAATTGTACAAACTCTTCAGTAAAATGCCAAAAACTTTTCATTCCATTGTGAATTATAAACGGGAAAAATCTATTTATGCTTTTCCAAGTATTTATTAGTCTCTATCGGTCAACCTACCAGTTCTTGTAAGCCTTCATTGTCTCTTTCTTCTTATTTTTCAGATGAATGGAAGCTGATTTTTGGAGACCCCACCAAATTTGGCCTCGGCCTCTTTTCCATCGTCTTCGACATTGTCTTTATGATCCAACATTACTGCTTGTATCGCCACCAAAATTACGAAGGGTTTGAGTAGATCAGTAGCCTATCTGAGTGCGTCCATTGCACTGAGAAGCCTTACTCCAAAGAAACCAGGACTGGCAAAATTGGTACAACTCGAGTTTCCACGCCACTTTAATTGCATCAAACCTACTCGGCCCTCTTGCGCCTTTGCGTCTCTCAATCCACCAGTGCGGCCTTGTCAAAGTCGTCCTCCCGATTTTCTCGGATGCAAAGTCCTCAAAAGCTTCCGAAGAAGTCGTCGTTTGCAAGAGAAGCAGAGATGCTCTTGTTTTGCCCTCCAATTTCTTACAGGAACCCTACATTGAAGGCATCTTGGCCAGGAAGAACCTGCTTTTGAAGTTTGGTTGGTTACAAGGAAAGGAAAAAACGGTTGTCATCGGAAGCTTTAAATCGGTTAAACTTGGAAGACAGCTTGTGTGACTTTGGATCCCACTTTCTCTTGCACACGGGGAGAAATGGTTGGAGGATGTTGGACTACCTCGAAAAGCTTTACGTTGGAGTCAAGGAACAATGCATTGAAAAATCTCTTGTAAGAACTTTTGTGTGAAAGGACTGAATATAGGGGTCGTGATTATTAAAGCTTTTCTAACAGGTTGTGGATGGCTTCCTTGTGGTTGCTTGACGAAGGCTCCTTTCAAAAGTCCTGTTGTGGTTGGCCAAGGTTTCAAGGGGTTCAGGACACCCGAGGGAGATTGTGGGTCCCTCTGGAAGGGATCGCGGAGCCCCATCTGCAACTATGACACTGTTGTGACCTAGGCTCACTTAGTCATTACAAGACACAATTAGTCCCCAACAAATTATTTTATTGTAACAGGTGAGAATTACTTCATTCCCAGTTTAGTCCAAATTAATTGCAAAACAAGTCTTTCAGAATAAGTCCTTTGGGCTTATCACAAACCTTTATCTTCTTTGGCACGCTGCCAAAGGCCTTTCTTGGCAAAGCCCCACAAAGTCCCGAAACGAGACACCAACTGGAAACAGATTTAGCAATGTTGCTTTCCTACAAAGAGCCCAAGAGCCTTTGCTGCTCTTTTAAGCCTTATAGGAGGGGCCAGTCATCTCCTGGCCTTACTCCCAAGTTGTCCCTTTTGCTTTAGCTGCTCTTGCCTTCTGGCAGCTCTGTGCATGCATGCACTAGGAACAGGCTCTCCTGTTCCTCTGCCTCTCTGCTGTCCGACTCTGGAGGCTCCGGAGTCCGCGCATCACTCCCAGATGGCCCTGGTCCCGTCTCTGCCTCCAATGCAGAGCCCTCATCCAGGGCTTCCCCAGACTCCAGGACTGGCCCATGGTCCTCCCCGGCCTCCTCACTGTCCGACTCCGCTGCCAGCTCCGCAGGCTGCTGGTGGACCACAACAGACAGGCCTATGGTTGGATTTCCGTAAGACCTTGTTTATCTGACCGGGATTGAAGACAAAGGGATCTGCTCCTTCTCCATTTAAATTGAACTGAGGGGGCTACTTTTCAGGAGGAGGGTGCTGCAATTTGGGGGGTCCTTAATGCTCTCGGAGCTTGGTTATTTTTCTTGCAGACGTTTCATTACCTAACTAGGTAACATCATTGGTGCTAGAAGGAAGAGGGGTTTGCTGATTTTAGATAGTGGCTTGCCGTGTCAGTGATAGTGGGAGTCGTAAAAGGGTCGTAAAATCAGTCGCCACTCACTTAACTACTGCCTGGCTTAGCAACAGAAACTCTTGATCCCGTATTGTGGCTTTAAATCAAGGAACATACGCCCACAATCATCGTCTTTTAACGATCCCATAATCCTTTGTTGGGTGGAGTCTGGGCAACTGAATGGAGCTGAGTGTTTACTGGCCGGATGCCTTTCCTGTCTCCAGTGCAGAGTTTTGTTTGGCAGATATATTCTTATTGTGCCCAGAGAGAGAAATATCTGCCTCTACCTAAGATCAAACTCACAGCCTCCTGATTGTGAGGCCACCGCACCACTCCAAACATACGACCACAATGGAGCCCCAAATTTCTGTTGCTAAGCAAGAGAGTTGTTAAGTGAGTTTTGCCCCGTTTTACGACCTTCCTTGCCACAGTTGTTAAATCAATCACCGCAGCTGTGACGTCAGTCACACGGTTGTTCCGTGAATCTGGCTCCCCCATCGACTTAGCTTATCATAAGGTCGCAAAAGGGGATTGCGCGATTCCAGGATAAATATTTAAGTCAGTTGCCAAGCATCTGAATTTTGATGACGTGGCCGGCGCCATGGCGATGCTGCAACGGTCGTTAAGTGTGAAAAATGGTCATAGGTCACTTTTTTTTCAGTGCTGTGGTAACTTTGGAGAGTCACTAAACGAACAGTTGTAAGTCAAGGACTATTTGTACCTGTACAACGTTTCAAACGAATTTCTCATTCTCATTCCTCATTCATTTCTTGGGCATATATGCAATTTTTTTTAATTGACTCCAGGCTTCTAGCTTAATTTCTTTTCTTTCTTTTTTTTAAAAAAAGGAAGAGACTTTTGAGATCAGAAGTCCAGCTTGGTTTATTTTGTGTAAAACGATCTACAGCAGCCCGTTGGTTGCTTTAACCTCCGAACTAAACCGATGCGATCCGGCAATACCAAAAAAAATGAAACAAAACCCCACAAGGCTTTGTCAAAAAAACAACAACCGTCCTTCCCACCGCCATTTCTGCTTCGAAAAGACAAACCACAGGGATAAGAAACAGATAGAAGGGTTGTGACACATTTTCCTTGCAAGACAGGCCGAGATTTAAGGGCCCAGGAGTTAAAGAGTCAAAATAGCAGTCATCATCATCATTTTTTAATGACCCCATAATCCCTTGCGGGGTGGAATCTGGGCAACTGAATGGAGCTAGCAGAGTGTTTTAATGGCCGGATGCCCTTCCTGTCACCAATGCAGAGTTTTGTACGGCAGACATATTCTTATTGTGCCGAGAGAGAGAGAAATATCTGCCTCTACCTAGGATCGAACTCACAGCCCCCTGATTGTGAGGAGAAAGCTCCACCTCTAGGCCACCACACCACTCACGAGTCAAAATAGCAGTAATATACTAAAATAAATTAGTGATATAAATGTTGGAAGGGACGTTATTTACAAGACGTAGAAAAAGGCCTTCAGGGGAGAAATTTGGCACAACAGTCAAGATTGGAAGCTAACTTTGGAAAAGTTGAGAGACCCCTCGAGGGTGGAAACCGTGGCCTCCCGACACAACGGGAGTCGCTAACGTCGGCCTGTTTCCGACTGATTGTGGTTAACAGGAATTCTGGCCGAGCGGCAGTCCAGGCAAACGAAAGGCTTAAGGCCACTGAAACTGATCGCCTTCATTTGAGGACTTCTGGAAAGAGGGGACCGGTTTCAAATGCCCGTCTATCATGGCCTTCTCGGTGTCTCTGAGGAGACAAGCCAACGGTTGGATGCCTCTTAAACACAAAACCCGTGCGGGATTCTAGATATCGGCAGTAAAAACTTTGGTCTGGCTAAGAGGACTGCAAGAAGCTCATTAGGCGGCCATCTTGTCCCTCAAGATGGCCGCCTTACAAAAACGGAAATTTAAGAACAGACTCGTCCACTGGAGGATTTCTGGGAGAAAAGCTCTCAGCTGGTTCCCAGTGGATCAGAACCAGGCTATCCTCTCGTTTGCGGTTTGATGCCCACCGTCTTTGATCCAGTGGGCATCAAACTGCCCCCAGAGGTGCCCTTTGCGGGGACACCCCGCTGGAACAGAGTCATTTTTTGCATAGGTGTGTCAGGAGACATCTGTCTTTTTTTTTTTTAAGTTCCTCAGGTCAACAGGTGATAAAGCTCTGTGGTCCATCTTCAACATCTCTACGCCGTGTCGTGGAGGCCCGTCGCTCGTCCCCGCTCAGTGGCAGGGTTGGGTCAGCATGGACTGCTGGACCGCTTTCTGCAGGGAGTGTCTGGTCACTAGCAGCCGGACCACTTCTTCGTTCCGCTTGGTCAGACGCTTGCGGGCTTGGTCGTGAGTCACCATGGTCATATCCCAGCCATTCACCTGGAAGAATTCAGAGTGAGTTTGACGGTAAGCGTCACGATCAAACACGGGTATTTTTACAGTCCCCGGATCACACATCTGAGTGTTCTGTCCCCAACCACACGCACACACACCAACAGACGTTCAAGAGTTAAAGACCAAACCAGCTGGCAAAGTCCTTTTCCTTATGATAACGGAACTTGGCAACAACCTAGTGGCTGCCTGCCAAGAGTTTATTATTTGCAAAGAGGAGAGATAACTTCTCCCCACTTCTGGTACATCAAAAGAAACAGCTCAATAATTACAATCAAGTCCAGAGATAATCCAGCAAAGTCTTATAGCAAAAATCCGGCAATGCAGAATGGCGTGGAAGCTTTCAGCTTTGTTTGTCACAAGGTTTGACTGGCCACCACGCTCCCTTTTATATCCTGTGGGGTGTGGTCCAGTGACTCAGCCTAATTTCGGGCACGCCTTTTCTTCTGTTGCGCGCGCTTATCTCTGCGATGCTGGCATGGATCCAGCCAAGACTCATTACCCTCATCACTGTCCACCTGTGGCTGCGTGGACGTGCTTGGCCCCGGCCCTATCTCTTGCCCTTCGGCAGACACCGAAGGCATTGCCAGAGAGGAGGGTCCTGGAGAGGGAGGCCTTGCCAACTCCTCTCCTTCACTCTCAGAGTCCTTTCCTGCCAATGACACAGGCTCAGGTAACGGAGCCACAACACTGGGGCTCTTTCGCTGTCCCTTTCCAACCCGCATAAATTGCTTTTTTTTTTCCCAAGAGGCAATTGGACTTTCTGGTTTTTCTTTTGAAGACGTTTCGCTTCTCATCCAAGAAGCTTCTTCGGCTCTGACTGGATGGTGAGGAATGGAAGGATTGAGACTCCTTGCAGGCAACTGGTCATTTGCATCCTTTTAGAGGGTCGTTGAGGCCACTTGGAGGTTTATCTGGTTTATCCATTCCCCACCATCCACTCAGAGCTGAGGAAGCTTCTTGGATGAGAAGCGAAACGTCTTCAAAAGAAAAAAACCAGAAAGTCCAGTTGCCTCCTGAAAAAAGCACCTTTGGGGACAATCATGTCACGGAGGACTGAGAATCTCTACAGACTATTATTATATCAAATTCAAAGATCAGGAGAAGTCCCAATATCCCTTTTTCAAAATAACACAATTGATTAAAAGCTGTAAGCTGCAGGCTCACTTCCCTCGAACCGGTGACGTAGCTTGGCTGATGCAGGATTTAAATTATATTTAAATATAGTTTGTTGCTTTATTGTTCTTTTGGAAGAAGAGTTCTTCATAGTCTTGTTTCATCAGGCTGGCCTGACCTAAGTCTTTCCCCTTTTTAAATGGAAATTTTAAATTTGGTTTTAAAGTATTGGGGTTTTAAATTCGTTCGGCCAAATTATTTAATTCGTTTTATTCTTTTTTAAATTTTGTATTTATATTGTTTTATTCCATGGCTGTTCACCGCCCTGAGTCCTTCGGGAGTAGGGCGGTATACAAATTCAATAAAACTAAACTAAACTAAAACTATACAATTTGGGTGTGGGAGTAGGAATGGATTTCCAGAGGAAAAAAACTGCAGACTACAGGAATACATTGACACCACTCAGCTTTCCCTGAGGAC